ACACACTACACACACACACACACACACACACACACACACACACACACACACACACACACACACACACATGTATATTTTTTCACAAGTCCTGTTTTTCTCGCGAGTATTTTTCATACCCCACGTGGTGTAACAAATGACTACGGCCGCTCTGCGACCGATTGAACAAACGATTAGTCTTGGATTTAACTTGTCGATTGCCGGCTTAATTTGGCGATCAATGAATTCGCATTCTTTGCGAATTCATTGATCGCCTTGCGAACTTTTTCTCGTATAAAAGCATCGGATTGGTCGAGCGATCCCGACATTACCCTAGAATCGCGCCAAGTCTTCGTCAAAGGAATATTAAATTTCAAATATAAACTTATCAATGTTAATAACATTGTTATTTTATTGTCGTACAATTGGTGCCGGTTTTAAGAAAACGCGCGCGAATAAAAAAGTGAAGCTTGAAAAGTTAATTTAACTTAATTATGCATTACATTCTGCAAAAATTAATGTTGTTTTTAATTCTTTGCAGTCTGAATATATTAATTGATACTTTTAAATATTTTATGGTTTTATGGTTATTAAATTTTAATGTTATATGGTTTTATCGTCCATTGCTCTGATCTCTACTTTTTAATCTTACATAATTTTATCTGGCGTCAAGATGAAATATCATAACGTAGTCCTGTAAGGATTGCCTTCAGATGCAAATTGATCGAGGACTCCACGATTGTGGGATACATGGCTTTTTGGGATACATACACATTATCTATCATGTATGTATGTGTGCAGTGAATACGTCTTACTCAAGGCGTGCAATTAGGGAGGGTGATTCTACATATGGACATCGGTGGTTTTTCAGTGAGATCTAAGTGGGCGAGTCACACTCGTCCTACGCGGACTACGTGCGCCATCGTACTTTTAATACTTGTCAAAGCAAACAAACGCCCGCTTCATACTTTTTTATCGCGATGCGTATTTGGTAGACGCACGATATAAGAGCACTTGCATCTGCCGAGTCGAATGTGCGCCACGAAAATCTTCCCACGTGACGATATTTTTTTTACACTTGACATCTTTTCCTTCGCTCGTATCGCGAAGATCGTTCGCGGTTTCGGCAGCGGCAATTAATCTTAATTATTTCTGCAGCAAGATCTAAAAATAAGTTCACGTGCTTTAACGAACAATATAAATGAATGTTACAAACTCGTGTCATTAATCGAGAAAGTTTTTTGGTAGAATATTAAAATAAACATGTCCGCAAAATTATCATTGAAAACAATCGGGAAGCATTAACTGTCGATTGATTTTGTGAAATGATTCTTCGGATGATTCTCCGAAACAGATTGATACAGATCAGGGATAAGTCGACCTGACCGAAATGTACGAAAAAGTGAGATAAATCTTTTAACGTCAGGGATGTCCTGCATCTGGTGATCTGATTCTGTGATATTTCACGATGCATCGAGATCTTTGTCTCGGTCTCATCTGTTTAAACCATTACTTTAATTAAATTAAATTAGCAATCAATCTTTTGCGCGAACATTTGATTCAAATTGTCTAGATCGACAAAGATTAGAGTTCTTCAAATTCTTTTTTTCAATGAAATGTCGGATATTTTTGTTAATTTATCTTTTGTTTATTGCTTTACCTTGCCTTACACTTTTTCAGCATATTTGTTTGAAATAAATATCGATGTTTCTTAACGTAATATCGTATAATAATGTAACGATTGTAATAATTTTTTGAGAATATTTATTAAACAATTACTAGTTTTGATGATTTTACGATGGTTAAGATAGCAAATTCGCTTTTCTTCTTGCGATGAATAAAATTTGTAAGTCTTTTCTGACTTTTTGCGAACGGAGGAAAGGCCGAGAGTACGAGGCACGCGCTATGTTAGGATAGGTGTGAAAGAGGGCGGGGAAGGTGAATCGGCAACTCTTTGTAAACTCTTGCCCTGACGAAGCCCAGAACACCTCCCGCGGTCGACGATGCACGATATAAACACTCCCATGGTGCCGCAAGAACTTGGCTATTCTCGGTAGCCAGGAAAGGATAGTCCGTTTCCTCACACGTGAAAATGAATTTCCGCGTGTGTTATACCCGCAACTTCCGAACAAATCGCCAAACAAATCGATTAAAATCGCAATTTGCGCAAAAATATATGTTGTTAATTTATCCATTTCTTAAAGCAATTACAAAGTCTTGTCTTGAGACAATCCAATGTGCAAGCCTAATTTTTATGAAAATCATTTTTATGAAATTCATCGAATTTAATGTAAATTTTTATTTAAAAATCATACACCTATATAATTTCATAAATAGCTGAAATTTTATCACCTTTTGCAAATAAAGTTTTTGACTAATAAGCAACAATTAAGCAATAAAGTCATTTATTATTTTGCTTCTTTAAATGCTGATTTTGCTGGTTTTAATTTTAATTTTAATGTAGATATTTAAATGTTTAGTGCTAAGTTCCAGTTCGTACGCTGCTGTGGAATCGTGCAATAATTTAGCAGTAGGACTTGCAAACAATTCTCTTGCTGCGAAATCGGGCGTAAACAGAATGGTTTTGGAGATAGAATGCTTGACAAGGAACGCCGACATCAGAGAGCAAAGGGTTAACGTTCCGGCATGTCGAGCATGCGAAAGAGATACTCGAAATATTTGTTACTTTCTTATAGTAAATGATACCGCGTTTGTTCTTTCTTCAAATTTAAATGTTTTGATTTTATCAAGTAAGAATTTAGTTAAATTAAAATCTTACATATTAAATGCGATAAATTTAATTTTATTTTGTTAGCGTAGTGCGTTTTGAAAGTTTAGTCTATAGTTTGCCGCAAAAATTTATAAGAAATATTCGTTACTTTCTTGTAGTAGACGATCGTCATTTTTGTCTTTAAATGTTTCAATTATTTTAAATAAAAATTTAGTTAATTAAAATCTTACATGAGGTAAATTATGAGTTTAATTTTATTCTTTTAGCACTTTTCAAGAATTTATTTTAATTTGTCATAAAGCTTTATGAGAAATGACATTCTTGCAGAGTTCTATAAAGATTTAATAAAGATAATTATGTAATACATTAGTGTAATTAAAAAACAATTTTTTCACGCACGAAAAGATCGAATATATCCATAAAAGTAAAAAAATTTAGTACAAAAATGCATTTTTCTCTGCAATATCATGTTATTTATTTTTTTTAAATATTTAAAATTCAAAAGAGATCATTTCGGGTGCAAGATAATTTTGTGATTGTTAAAAATCATTTTCATGTAAAATTAATCACTACATCTGAAAATGATAACATAACATTAAAGCTATTAGAACAGAATAAAATAAAGATAAAAAAACATATATTTTTAATAAAAAATCGCTCAAATTTTTTTTTACCTTTCTGCGATTTTTTTTTGTGAGTGTTGATGAAGAAAATGTGATTTTCAAGATACTGCGTAAGTATTTTGGAAGCACAAATAAACTAAACTATAAATCAATATTGCAAAAATTATTATGATCCGGGCGCTGTATTTTTTTTTTATTTTAAGTTTTGTTTTGCTTTATTTACTGGTTTTGCTTTTGTTTTACATGCTAAATATAAATTAAGTAGACTGTGAAATGTCAAATTGTTGTTAAAATATTAAAGTGCATTCACGTAATATTCATCGATAAAGAAAACTGTAGAAAGGCCGAAAAAAAGAGAAATTTGGACAATTTTGACTAAAAATGCATTTTTTTATCATTTCGCTCGTCTTCAATCTGCTTTAATTTTATCATTTTCGGATTTAGCGATCAATTTTACATGAAAATGTATGATTTTTAGACAAAATTTTATCTCGCACTGCAAAGTAACCTCCTTCAAACTTCAAATATATATAAAAAATAACTTGCTCTCGCGGAATGTACTTTTATATTAGATTTCGTCTCTTTCGTAGGCATATTAATTTTTTTATGCATAAAAAAAAATAATCCTTTTTTATTACACGGTGATATAGTTTAATTAATATATTGATCTCAATAATGTAAACAATGTAAATGGACTGTCGATGTCCAACTTGTCACTTAGTATAGTATCGTGGTTTAATAGACGTAGACGAGAGAATCGTAGGGTCGGTTAAAATACGAGGCTTCATCAGCGTCGGTGAAGCCGGTTGAAATGTTTACGGCGAGGCAACACAGCGAGGCCCAACTATTAACATTCTCGAAGCTTCGCGACGTGCACGCTCGCGCATAATATAATGCCACTCGTTGCGATAAACAAACGGCTCGTCAATCGCCTCGGCAATATCGATCCCGGACTTTGCGATCACTCGTACAATACACAAGACCGACAATGTCGTCTTCGGCTTGGAATCGTTGTTTAGGCGCGGACGGACATTGATGGACCGATGCCATCGAAGACAGTCGCAAATATTTAGTCTCACGAGAGTCAAAGTTCCTGGTAGCAAAAACTGAAAATTAATCACGCCGATTAATTAATTGAACGGGTGCCGTTAAATAAACTTAATCTCGAAAACTTTGGGATAAGCAACGTTAAAAGAGATAATAAGAGTAAATAATTAAATATTGAAGTTTATCGAAGTTAAAATATGTCACGTAAAATTATTGGATAGAAGAGAATTTTTTTTTGACTAATCTGATAATGTTTAAAGACTAATTTATAGATTTCAACTTTAATATTTAATTTTTATTAGTAAATAACTTTTTTAAAGATTCAATAAATACAGAAATATTCTCATTATATACTTTTATAATATATTATGTTTTTATAAAATAACCACCATACGACAAAACAAATTCGAAAATTGACAAAACGAGAGAGGATGTTCATTGGAGTTAATCAAAGTTAAAATATGTCGCACAAAATTATCGGACATAAAGAATTTTCTTGACTAATCTGATAACGTTAAAAAATTAATTTACAGATTTTAACTTTAATATTTAATTTTTAGTAAATAACTTTCTTAAAAATATAAATGTAATGTAATAAATATATAAATATGTAATGTAATAAATATATAAATATTGTTATAATATATTTTTGATATAAAATAACCGAGTACGACAATACAAATTCGAAAACAAAACGAGAGAGGATGTTCATTCATCAGAGATATTGTCTACCATCATGCAAGGACAGATAAGCACTAATATTTTCTCCGGGATATATATTGACTACATGTACCAGATACTACATGGGACCAAGTACTGGCGCCAGAGTAGCCACGAAATCCGAAACCAACCGCTTCACACAATGAATTCTCCGTCTATAATGGACCAGCTGAATAGAAGGAAAAGATAGAGAAAGAGAACTTCTCACGACTTCTTCTTTTACGAAATGTATTTGAGAATATATATTTATAAAAAAACTAAAAAAACTACAAAATGATGTATATTTAAAAACAAGTAGGGATAACTCGAGGGTTCACTTTCATTATCGTTAAAGAAAATACGATATAGACATTAATAATATAAAAATATAAAAAATATATATTTCTAGTATTTATAAATTATTATAAATTTCTTTATATCACAATTAAAAATACATATACATATATTCTGTTTTTCTAAATGCGAAAATTTCATTCTGTTTTTCTAAATGCGAAAAAATCTATAGATTTGTAAATAAGTTATAAGTTATAAGTTAGAAAGGTGAAAAGTAAGATATTATGTTTTATTATAGTACATTGTTTATTGCTAGTGACATTTTATACATTTCTGTAACGATACTTTATACAAAACTTTACAAAGATTCTTAATTCTAATTAATAATTCAATCCACACGAATTCAACTCAAAATCATAATTACAACTTAATCGCATCGTTATCAACTTATGAAAATAATAGATTCATCGGTAAAATAATGTTCTTTGGCTAAAAGTTTCAACATCGATTGCTATAGGAGGAACAAAACCCTGTACATACACAATAATTACAAATGCATACTATATACAAACAATACTATTCTTCTTACCGAATAATTATATTTTTTGCTTGACCGCATTTTTCTGGAGATTTGGAATTGTTTTGTAAAACATTATTTTATCAACAATACATATTATCGCCCAGTAATTATCAAATTTCTCGCCGCAAATTTGTTCCACGAATTGAAAATATTTGAAAGACGCATTAGATATATTAGTTGCTAAATTGCGGGCCACCCTTTTTTCGACGGTAAAAAAATAATGTCAGGCTAAAAAGGAACGATCGTTTCGAACGATATTTTGTGAAATATCGTGGATATGTTTTGACAGTGGTGTCTTCGGTATATTTTATTGCATCTGGTTGGTCGATGATTCTTGCTTCAATTCGAGAGCCCACATGTGCTGCGGCCAACCCGTTCGTCCTTTGCTCTTTGTCGGTTCTTCGTGGCCGAGATTCGAAGCAGATTGCAAACACGACTCATTCTGCGAAGAAACAAAAATACTTGATGACATATGTCTCCATTAAAAATTAATCTTGTCTCTGTCATTAATGTCATCTCTAAAATCCAAAATGTTTCCTTTCATTTTGTTTTTAATTTAATGTTAGACATGAGAGCAAATATGGAGGTAGTAATTGTCAGACAAATTGATCTAAGAGATGAAGAATCATCAATTATAAGTAAAAATTACAGTGCTATATTGAAGAGAGAAAAGTCTATGTGGGTGGTAAACGATCTCAAAAATGAAGAAAACCACAAAATATAGGTTTGAGAAGAGCAAATTATTTCGGAAGTTTAGAATTAGAAGAAATTTTAAACAGAAAATCGAATCAAATTTCCTTTGTTTTTTTTTTTTTTTTAATTAGCGCCTCTCATATGATATTTTCTAAAAGTAACGATCTTTCGATGAAAACTTAAATTATTAGAATAATATTTAATTCAAACAATTCTTCGATTCTTGTAATAAATATTTTTGTAAAATATAAAATAATCGATGTGAATAATTACATTTATCAGGTAAGATCGTTAATTGCAGCAACTTTATAATTCAATTTAATTGAATTGTTTTTTATTGCATTTGCCAAGTCACTTTAATTTCAATCAAGTAAATTCTATTAAATAATAAGATAATATAAAAATATTGGTATAATTCGTTTATAACAAATTTCAAAGCACGATGATGGCTTTAAGATCGAATTCTCAGGCTGACGTACGCGTAAGTCAATTAAAGAGGCAAATGTTTACGTTGGAGCGACGCTTACACAAAAGCGTTCTGAAAGATTTAGGAAAGTCCGTCTACAGCAGACGAAATAATTCATCCTGAAGAACTTTTGAACCCATGACCGAAAGCCACTGCATGTATCCTCGAGTAGCTCTCGAAATACTTTAGGGTTTTTTGGAAGAATGAAAAATCTCATACGAGTACGAAAATTAAAAAAAAAAATAAAAAGCAAAAGAATAATGTTTTATATATTTTCTCTTTTTTCTGTTTGTATCCTTTATTATTTGCTATAATATAGATATACTAAATCGAGAGATGAATTATTCTATCTTCATTTTATCAGTAAACAATATGTCGTAAAAAGTTATTTACTTGATTAGGTTGAGTCGCTTTATTTCTTCTGCCATTTGAAAGAATTTCCGCGCGGAAAATCTGTGGTTCTTCTCCTTCGTCGCTTTCCAAAACCGCCATGAGGTATCCAATATAAGACGCAGCTAGTCTCAAAGTCTTAATTTTTGATAATTTTGTGTCCGAGGGAACGTTAGGAATGCATTCTCTCAGATCGGAAAAAGCATTATTTATGCTCTGAGTACGTCTTCTTTCTTTCTTATTTGCTGTGTTTCGTCTTTTTGGCCTCACTGCCACACCACCCTCGCGACTCTGATGAAGATGCTGTTGAAGCGGACCACCAACGGCCTGCTGGCTGATCTGAGCGTTCGCAAATTCGTGCTCGCGTCGGTGACTGGATTGATGATGATGATGATGATGTAAGTGATGATGATGGTGGGGCGATGTTTCCTGTTGTACCTGAGAGTACGGTAGGGTAGTGTAATGCTGACCGGCCGAAGGATGCACGTATTGCTGTAAGGGCGAATAATTCGGTTCCTGGACGCCGATCTCTTCGATAAGGGGTGGTGTCGACGCGGTAGGGCTGCCGGCCCCCGAGCTGCCCCCTGAGATACCAGAATCCGCGCCTCCCCAGTACGTTGATTGACTATCGGCGTCGGGAGCTGAGCCAAGGGGCCCTGTGCAGAAATCGGATGCACATCGCATTTCTGTGTGATCTATAGACGCATTGATGAAACTGGTTCTTGTATGATTTTTGCGAAAAATATTTGCGATAATTATAATTACAATTTACGTTATATATTATACATTATACATTATACATTATATATTATATTAAAATTTTTAATAAAAAGCTTTCTTTTGCAAAATAATAGAATACTAGTCTTTCAATAACCTAAAATTATAATTATTTTTAAAATTTTTTGACAAAAATGTAAAGGGACATTAAAAGAAATACAATCTCTTTTTTTTTAATTTATATAATATACTTTATGTTTAAGAATTTATTAATATTTTGTATAATATTATATTTTATAATATTTCTCAAAATAGTTAACACAAAATATAGTACGCGATATTTAAATTTGATTCGTATTCTTTGAAATTCGGCATTCATTGAATTTTTGCATTTATTTTATAAAAATAGAATAATATCACGGATAATATTGTAATTTAATATATAATAAATTTCCTCTTGTTTAAATTGTTGTTTGATTATTACTTGTTTGATTACTAATTGTTGTGTGTATGTATGTATATATATATATATATATATATATATATATATATTTCTTGTACATTTCTTGTAATACTTTTTGTTAATATATTATAAAATAGAAAATAATATTTCCTAAAAAATATTCAAATCATTTACATATGGTTTTATATTAAAATAAAACGCTAATGTAAAACATTGCGTTATAATTAATAATAGATGTTGAATTATTAAAAATCATTACAAATCATATGCATAAAATATCTAGAGCAAAAAATATCTTTTGCATTAAAAATCTTTTATACAATGTTTATTCATTAATAACTCTTGAATAATTACATTTTTTTGTTGACTATTTTTCATTAAATGATATTCTATCCTAATCTATCTATTTAATCTACTGTTTCATTTTGTCATTCGTAATGATAAGTGTTGTCTGCATATGAATTAATGATGAATTAATGATAAGGAAAGTGAAAATAACGTCAAGCTCCGCGTAGAAACCGGAAAGTCAAGTTTTACCTTCATGGAAATTTTCCATTCTTGTACTTACGTAAATAGATTATTTTATTAGGCGTATATTAGCATACATTTATAAAATAATAAAATAAATAAAATAAATACGATTCACGTAATATAATGTAATCTATAAAACAATAAATAACGTTATGACAAAAAAACGATTTAATTTTATGATTTAGAAAGTACTTTCCGTACTCTGTAACATTCTTTTTTATATTTTTATAGTTTTAAATTGTACTTAATTGTTCTACGTTTATTACAAATATTTATCTAAATAATTCTTTCTTCTCATACTTTAGGATACTACTTGTTAATTTTGAAAGAAAATGTAAGAGGAATGCGGTTTGTTCTGTATTCAATTTTAGAAATGATTGTCAATAAAGATGTATGTACTCACCATAGGGAAGCTGAGTAACATAATTATATGGTTGATGCCACTGCGGATAATATTCTGTCTGCGCCTCGTATCCACCAAGCATGTTGCGCGATATTATCACCGATTTCTTTAATTTGTCTCACAACTCGTACTAATTTCACTAAACGCTCACCTCAACTTTTCAATTTAAACTTGTTGATTATTATTTCAGTTTATTTTATTACTTAATTATTTTACCATATCTCGTTATATTTCTCGATAAGAAAAATCTTTTTATCAAAGAAACAGAAATTATCCTCCAATTGTTATTTTTTTTTTATATTTGTTATTATAATTTACTATAGTTCTCAAATATGAAGAAATCTCAACTTCCACTCACGCGAATATCGTCTAAACGGAATAAAATTTATTGCTGACTCGACGATTTTATCATATTATTTATATAGATTATTTCATTTCTCGATGATGAAGTCTTGATTTTCACTCGGATCTCGTCTCGCGGAACAAAACTTGACGTCTGTCTTGTTATGTCCGATTATGAATCATCTCTATTTCTCGCGAGGAGTCTCTTCTTTAAATCGCGTCCGAATGTCGTCTCGCCGCGAATCTGTGACGCGGGCTGTCATCCGACGTGTAGCTAGGTCGCTATATTCGCGCTCGGTTTCGGACGTCGAACGAGGCGATGCGGTTTCGGACGTGCGGTCAAAGTGACACTGAGAAAACGGAGTTTGGTGCGGTACCGATCTATCGCTCCCCGTGCACGGATGCGTAAGCCCCCGGCCACGTTCGCCGCTTCGTCGTCGGTGGTAGCAGCCGCGAGTGCGAGTGGGTGTACCCGCGGAGGCCTGTCGTGATCCGACCTCGTCAAAACGGGCGGAGCCCGGTCTGGTCTACGCCCCTGAGGGGAACCCGGGATTCAATTAGTAAATTGAGGGAGCTCGCCGTCGACGGACGGCGAAGTGGGGTATGATTTAGGGTATGACGTCCCTCGGCGGAGGCTTCTTTCCTCCGCCGCTGCCGCCGCCGCCGCCGCGCCGGCCGGTCGCCGACACGATGTACCGCGACGTATCGCCGTCGCCATCGTACTCGCCTTTTTGCCAATCGACTCGAGCGAATGCGAATGCTCCGACCGACGTCTCTTCATCGTGTAATAATATTAGCCGCGAGATATCGACGCGATGTAGCACGGGCCTGCGACGCAAATTAGACGAACGTAGTACGAAGAGAGAAAAATTCTACCGTAAATTCGTTCAAAGGGGAAAATTCTTGCAATTTCTTTCGCGTATTCTC